CCCTTAACCCCAAACAATGGGGTGGTTTAAGTGTGTTTCAAGCCATGGGATGGTCCATGGCTTGGTTGAGGGCTGTCGACCGTTCAGGGTTCAGGGTTTAGGGTTGCGGTTCAGGGTTTAGGGTTTAGAGTTTAGGGTTAGGGTTTAGGGTTTAGGGTTTAGGGTTTAGGGTTTAGGGCTTAGGGCTTAGGGCTTAGGGTTTAGGGTTTAGGGTTTAGGGTTTAGGGTTTAGGATTTGGGGTTTGGGCTAAGATACTTAGGCTGATTGAATCGTGTATTGCGGGGTTGTTGAGGGCTGAACGACGGAGGGTCTTGGACCCACAAAGCCCTGCGAGAGTGCAAGGCTTAGCCTGCACGGGGTTTAGGGTTTAGGGTTTAGGGTTTAGGGTTTAGGGTTTAGGGTTTAGGGTTTAGGGTTTAGGGTTTGGGGTTTCGCGCTATGGCTTAGGGCTCAGATTTGACTCTCTGATAGGCGTTGCCAACCAAAGCTTAGAGGGTATGCTCATTCCCCATCATGCCCCAATTGCCCTATTGTCAAGGCTCGATCAGTAGCGCTGGGGCCGGTGGGCGTGAAAAGAGCCATGTGAAACTCAGGTTCAACGGTCCCATTCTCCCCCCCCCCCCCGCCCTGAAGGTCAAGGGTTGGAGCTTGGTTGTTATTCAACCCTAATCCGCTAAACCCCTAAACCACTAAACCCCTAAACCCTAAACCCGAAAACTCTAAACCCTAAACCCTTAAACCCTAAACCCTAAAAGCTTCGTTGCCCTGCACAGCCCGTACCCTTAAACCCTAAACCCTAAAACCCTTGAACCCCCAAACCCTTGAGCTCCTAAACCCTTCTAAACCCGAAATCCTCCCCCAATCCCTTGGCCGTTTAAACCCTAAACCCTAAACCCTAAACCCTAAACCCTAAACCCTAAACCCGAAACGAGCCCCAAAGCCCTGATGCGTGACGGTCCCAGACCAGCTCTTCGCCCCGAGCATCATCCCAGAATTCCTCCGACGCCGGAAGCAGGGTTTCGGGTTTACGGTTTAGGGTTTAGGGTTTAGGGTTTAGGGTTTAGGGTTTAAGGGTTAAGGGTTAAGGGTTTAGGGTTTAGGGTTTAGGGTTTAGGGTTTAGGGTTTTTTGTTTTTTTTTTAACCGGAATCACCTGTGCGCAGCAAAAATGCTGTCCGGTCCGTGAAACTGTTGTGCTTATTGGCTCCCCCCCACTCAGACGGGTAGAACATAATGACGAGCATCACCACCACGACTTTTACTTTCACGACCCCACCACCACATCACCTTCACCTTCAAAGCTTCCTCCACCCATGTTCTCGCCCTCTCGCACTTCCCAAGCATCGCCACCACTTCTGCCCGCATCCCCTCGAACTCCAGTAGACAACGTCGTCGCTGTGGTAGGAAACGCCCTCGAAGTGGTAGGAGACGCCCCCGATGTGGTAGAAGACGACCCAGTAGTAGAGGACGACCCAGTCGTAGGAGAGAACTCCCCCGGCGTAGACAAGGCCGGTGAGTTCGCGGAGGTAGTGCTGATACTCGGCGATGTAGTCCGGAACAACGTCAACGTGGAGGACGCCCCCGATGTGGTAGAAGACCATCCAGTAGTAGAGGACGACCCAGTCGTAGTAGAGGACGCCCCCGGTGTAGGCAAGGTCGAGGGGTTCGAGGACGTAGTGCTTGTACTCGGCGATGCGGTCCAGAATAACGGCAAGGGGAACTCAAGCAGCGTGGTGGCGTCACTGTCCGCTTCCTCGTCCCCATTACTTCCACGAACTTCACCTCCACGAGCTTCGCCAGCCCTCCCACCACCTCCACTAGCCGCCTCCTCCCCCTCATTGGCCACCACCATCACTTCTGTGGATGTCCCAACACTTTCCAGCGACCCCTCCGCAACCGCGAGCGTGCCATCCACAACCGCCAGCAGCCCATCCTCAACCGCCAGCAACTCATTCTCCACCGCGAGCACCCCGTCATTGACCACCATCTCCCCATGTCCCACCGCCATTGTACTTGTAGGTCTCGATGACGACGATGCTGCTTCCACTCTCGGCGAACGCGATCTCCCCCTCGGCGCTGAGATCTGGGCTTCCCTCCGCGCGATGCGCGCGAGTCGGTCCCGAAATTGCCTCGCCCACGCTACAGCCCTCGCCTCCCCCATAACATCCCGAGGACGCCGTTCACGGGGAAGCTCCACCCCTCGACACCCCAAGACCTCCACCTCGATGCGCTGGAGTATCCGCTGCATAAAGTGCACACCCCGACGTTCTTCTTCCACCCATCGGCGAACTCCCCAGCGTAGTTCCGGCAGCACCCCTTCCACCCGTGCCTGTCAAGCTGCTCCCTCATCATCTCCAGTGCTGCGTCCACCTCCCCCTGCGCGTCCTCCAACTGGCGGGCCTCATTGATGCGCCTCATCACCAACTCATGTTGCATCAGCCCACTATGGTCCGCCTCTTGCGGGTCCCAATCCTTCACCTCCATCTCGTCTGGTTCCACCGGCGCCAGAGGTACATCTTCACCCCCAACTTCACTAGACGTCCCATGTGGTGGCCCCCCATGTGCATGAGGAACTCCATGTGGATCCGCTGGACCTCCTTGTAGGGCGTGACCTCCTTGTAGAGCGGGCCCACCCTGTAGCTCAGCACCTCCTTGTAGAACAGCACCTCCCTGAGGAACGCCATGTGGATCCGCTGGACCTCCTTGTGGTGCGTGACCTCCTTGTAGAGCGGCTCCACCCTGTAGTTCAGCACCTCCCTGTAGAACAGCACCTCCCTGTAGACCGGCACCATCCCGTGGATCAGCACCACTCGTACTGGACGAAGACGCCCCACCACCAGCACTTTCCGCGTAGTAGGACACCCCCGCCCCCATCATCACTCGTTGCCGCTCCGCCTGCTTCTGCGCCATGATGCGATCCAGCTCGGCCTGGTCCGTGATCACCGGTTGCTCGTCAGTTGGTTCCGGTGGCAAAGGCCCGACCCATCTGTCCACCCCCGCCACCCAGTCCTGCTCATGGTCCGGCTTGAGGAGCTCGTTGACGTAGAACTCCTCCGCATCCTCCGCTTGTGTCGCCCCACCGCTTGGGGTCGGCCCCACCGCGTTCGGCTGCACGGGCGGTAATGGCACACGCTGCTCCGCAATGTAGGCTTCCAGCTCCCGCCGCACCATCTCCCTCATTGCCCGCCCCCTGTCTGCTTGCTTTTCCTGGGCAATCCTCCAAGCTGGTTTCCACGTCCCTTCCAGCCAGTCAGCAACTCGCTGTCGCCGCTTGCCAGTACGCTGTGGTCCTTGTCCCCCAGCCCACCATCGAGCATCACGATGATCTTTCCAGTTCGCCCCCCAGCTGGTGCCCTCCCCCTGCGTGGACACCCCCTCCGGCTTGTCGTCATTCTCCCCCACGAGGTTGTTGCAGTCCACGTCCGCATAATCGCCAGTGTGGTCGTGGTGGTCAGGCGGCGTCTCCTCAGCTTCCATCACCGGAATCTCCACCCATGTCGTCGCCCCACTCTCTCCTCCATCATGTGGCGCAGAGGGAGTTTGCACACCATTTCCACCTCCACATCCTGTCCCTCCAGCCTCCCAAAAGAGCGGCACGTGTTCATCATGTGGTGGTGTTGCTCCCCGCGGTGGCTCATCCCTCGGTGGTCGTCCTTCGCCAGCATGTCCCGGGTCATCTGCTTGTGGAGGTCCGCGGTCGGTACTTGCACTCCACCTCTGCCCCGTTCTCCCCGTCCAGCGGTCCACGCCCGGCCTGGTTTGGTCACCTCTTCGAACTCGAGGAATCCAGGGTTGAGAGGTAGCCAGCCAATCCTCCCACTGCCGCTGTGTCCACCCCGAGCAGTCCGAGATGAAGGCGGTTCCCCCCCACATCGAAGTTGGTGGTGCTGTTGCCGAACCAAGCCCAGGAGGCGCGGGATGTTGTGGTTGAGAGGACTCCGGTGACCTCTCCGCTTCCACCCCACGTCCGACTGCAGCATCCACAACTGAGGTCGGGATGCCCTCCTTGATGGCGGCTTCCCTCAACGCGTGCGACCGCAGAGCTTCTTCCCAAATCAGTTCACGTAGCCGACGTTCCTGGGCAGCACGAAGATTGCGTAGATCACGGCCATCATGTAGTCCACTCCTCAAGCCCCCACCCTCCCTTGCCGAAGTCGAGGACGAAGAAGTAGCACACCCACTCCCCACACCACCCGAACTCGAAGGCAAAGGCCACGACGTAGTCCCACCAGCGCGTGGAGCATCAGCTTCAGCAGGCAGTCCCCCACCACTGGAGCTTGGGATAGTGTTCGTCGGCGCAGTTCCCATCGCCCCCGGGCCATCTGCAGGCAACGTCCCCGTCGTCGGCGTCCACGTGGGAATCCTCCCATCCTCCCACAAGGCGTCCTCCTGTGTCGCCCCATCCCACTGTGCACACCACCGCCACTCGCCACCACGCCAAGAGTCCGCGCGCCATTCCCCTGCTGTCCACCTCCCACTTGAACCTTGCTCGTCCCCTCGGTTGTGTCCACCTTCGCGTTCTTGTCCTGGTTCATTGCCACGTTCGCGTCCCCGTGCTCGCCCGTCATCACGTCCAGCACCTTGCCGTCCATGGCCTTCACCTCCACCATGCCCATCCCAAACGCCACGTCCAGGAACACATTCTCCCACCCTCGCCGCCAGCACCAGCGCGGTCACGACACATTTGGCCATCACCACTGCCATGGGCACAGTGCCAACAAGCAAGGGGAGCGCAGGGAAGAAAGCAAGAAAGCAAAGCCAGAAAGCTCGCAAGACACATTGCCCATTCACACCCCACGTGCTCACATGCCGATCACATCGTTCTCAAAATGAAACATGCCGATCACACCGTTCTCAAAAGGAAACAAGGCAACTGATTGACATCATCCCTCCCCAAGGTAACCACCCATGTGCAAGCCACCAAAGTGTTTCACCCCCAGCAACAGCGGTTCACGACGCCCCCCATGTAGTAGTCACCCCAGAGAGTTTCAACATAGCCATCACCATGGTAGAGAATGCTGTCTTCCCCGGCACCACCGAGCATCCCATCGTGCCAGCCATCTCGGCAGTGTCGCCGCCCACCCAACCCGATCCTGTGCAAGGAGGGGCCAATCATCACCGAATGTTTCGGCAACCTGTCGTTCAACATTATCTGGATAGAAGCGGCCGGGGTGTCTCATCCCAAAGGAGAGATTCTGCTCAGCATGCCACCACCGCAGGCTCCGCCACCCCAACATGCGAGCAGCCAACCCAAGTTCCCCTCCCTCCCTTTGCCTCTGCCAGTGCCCCAGCAGCTGGTGCTGCAGTCGCAGGACTTTCGCCGACCACCTCTCAACTTTCGCCATTGCAACCCAAGCCCTCACATCCCGGAGCGTGCGTGCATTCCACCCCATCCAGTCCTCCCCCCTCTTCCTTCCCAAGCGGAACGCCCGGCGGAGCACCTGTAGTTGAACAGTGTTCGCCTTTTGCAGCTGCTCCTGGGGCCAGTGCAACGCCCCCGCCCCCCACGTGAACGTGCCCTCCACCAAGCTCCTCACCATGGCAGCTTTAGCTGCTCGACTCCCCTGGCCCCGGAGCAGATCATCATGAGCCCACGCCGCGTTGCTTGCTCGTTGCAACATCTCAGCGGCTTGGCCCCCCGAGCCCCCCTGGAAATCGAACAGCACCCCCAGCGCCCGGATGGAATTGCCAACCGTCACCTGCTGCCCCATGACGTCCAACATCATGCGCCCCTCGTACGCCACAGAGGCAGCAACAGCAGTCTTGGTGGGGGAAAGCGAAAGTCCTAAGCGAGCGATCTTCTCAGCGATGATGCGAATCTTCTGCTCGAGCACGTGCGGGTCATCATCCCACAGGAATACATCATCCTGGTACACTACGACCGCAACCGGCAGGTCCTCCATTGCTCCCCGAAAGGCAGGCCACCGGGCGTCCTCAAGAGCGTCCTCGACAGCCAGCGTCATGAGCATCCCAAAGATCTCCGCCGACTCTGGGGACCCCTGCCTGATGCCCTTGTTGGCATGGACTACTAGTTTTTCACCCCCAGGCGCCATCCCCTCAAGCACGTTCTCCCCGAGCTGCTGCAGCAGGAAGCGAAGCTCTACAGGATATTCCCCCAGCCCTTGCATAAGATGCTCCGCGACCGCCATTCGGCGTACATTGTCAAACGCCCCACTCACGTCCAGCTTTGCCACCAACAGGGGAATGCGCCATTCACGAGACATGTCCCTGAGCCTTGTCATCACCCCCAACAGGTCCGCTGCCTGACGTTGTTTGCCGCAGGCACTGACGGATGAAGGAACACGAAGAAGAGGAAAACAACGGTGCATGGTCATGCGAATCACCAGCTTCATCATGGCGCTCGACACTGCAATTGGCCTAAGGTCATTCGGCCCCCCCGGGTGCTCGATCTTGGGGAGGAGCGCGAGCAGGCTATGGTCCCACCCATCGTCACCCCCCTCACCTCGCACAACGGAATTGGCAATTTCAGCCAGCACCCCATCACCCCGCGCATGGACATGCCACAGAAGGTCTACTCCAACTCCATCAGGCCCAGCAGCTGCCCGGCGCTTCATCTTTTCCAGCTCCCTCCCCACATCCGTGGACTCAAAGGGCCTCCAGTTGTTCACGTCACAGGGTACCCTGTCTATCATCGCTCGGAGCTCCTTATTCCAGTCCAGGTCGGGGTCCCAGACTTTGGCCTCGAGGTGCAGCTTGATGTCTGTGGCGAGCTGCTCGCCCGTGCGCTCCTCAAGGAGTTTCCCCCACCACCCCGCCCGTCGTTGACGTTGCATTTGCCGAGCTCGGTAGGCCCCCCAGTCGCCCTCCAAGATGCGGGCCACCCGCTGTTGCTCCCATCTGCGACGCGCCCTCCTTCGACGCTTGTGGACTTCTTTCCAAAGCTTCGGTTCATGCGGTAGGAGGTGTGCTCGATCAATGGCCTCAAGCACACTGTCCGTGTCCTTGTACTCGTGGGTACCACGTCGGCTTGTTGTAGTGCGCGCCAGTCCTATAATGTCCCCGACCCCCCGAATGTCCGCCACCGCCACCCGCTCCGGGTCATGCACCCAGCGAGCCCCTCCCCCCGTCAGCCACTCCCGCCTTTTGCCCCTCCCGATCTTCACCCGCCACTGCAGCAGCGCATGATCAGTGTTGACAATGTGGCGCTTCTCCGGCCGGAAGGAAAGGCCATCAGCCACAACCCATCCCACCCACACCCCATCGATTTGCCTCCCCTCCCGCGTGACATCCCATGGAAAGTGAGTGGGGGCATTGCGATGATCCGGTTCGGGAGGGAGAGGACGGAGCAACAACCGGCGAAACTGCTCCTCAAGCGTCTCACGATTGTGGGACCCGTGATTCAGGTCAGCAACCCCAGCCTCATCCCCCACCCAGGCCAGCTTTTCGTTGGCGTCGACACCCACCACGTGTGGCAGCCCTTTGCGCTTCACAGGGTGCGCAGTCACAAAGTCCTCGACGGCCAGGGCGTACTGCTGGTGCGTCACTCCTGTGGGTGCATGTAAATTCCCAATCACCAACCTCCCCCCATCTTGCAGCCGACACACAACCCAAAGGCCATGTTTCGCCCCCGCCCGTTGGGGAAAGCAGTCCCAAATGTCATGGCTCACCCCAACCGCCTGCCCCCTCCACTTGTCAGCATGTCTCCAAACCAGCCAGTGAAAGTGTGTTGTGTCATACTCATGCCACCCCGCCTCCCCTCTAGCAACCTCTTGCACCATAACGACGTCATATTCATTTGTTGCCGCATCGACAGTCTCCAAGGTCTGGCCGCCCACATTGAAGTCGGCAAAGTTGAGTCGGCGCTCTTTGGCTTCACGCGGGCGCGGCGCGTGTTTTGCACCCGCGCGTCGCCCCCTCACCCACTCAGCGATTGCATCAGTCACGAATTCATCAGACTCTGGGATGACACCTTCGGCGACCCCCAGCTGCTCCTTGGTGAAACTTTGTTGTTGGTCTCAAAGCTCTCGGTTCAGGACGGCGGTGACTGCCGCCTCAGGCACTCCAATCGCCTCTGCGATGCTCGCCGTGTCCACCCAGCCGCCCCCCATGGTGCGAACATGCTCTCCTCGAGGTGCCCGGTGCACTGCGCTGCCCAGCTTGTGCGCCCCTGCCCACACTGTCCCGGAGTTCCAGTCCACCTCATAGTAGTCGTGCTCCTTGGCCTCAATGACAACCCGATCGGACTGTTCAGCCTCGTCAACCGCCGTCTGGGCAACCCGGCGAACCAAGCTGGCGTGCCCCCCTCTGCGTCTTGCGGCCCGGGTTTTCGTGAAGGACGCCCAGATGCGTTTCCCCTCCCCATCGCCAGCGACTCCGCCCCGCGTGGAGGGAAGAACGTGCTCCGCACCCCGAATGGCCTTGATGACGTCCCACATGCGGTCGCGCATGCCAGCGTAGGTCTCCTCGCCCCTCCGCACGAAGCGCAAGAGCCCAAACGCCCGACGGGGTCCAAAGACATGCAGCTCCGTGGCATCAACCTTGGCCTGGGCGTCCTCCCTCGTCAAGATCTCCTTGGCCTCCTCAATGATGACCGCCCGCTTGGTGTCCTGCAGCCACCCTCCCACAACGAGTGTGCGCTTATCTTCTTCACTGAGTGTGTCTTCGTCCCCCACTGCGGACCCCCTTCCCGTCCCTCCGGTGCCACCCCCATCCTCCAACTCCGCCAGAGCCCCCTCCACCCCCACGAGGTCCGCCCATGCCCCCCGCAAGGATCCAGCCCTGACCCATTGGCGCCGGCTGGGTTCTTTTGCAGGGCTTCAAGCTCATGCGAAAATGTCTCGAGTCGTCGTGTCATCCCGCCAATCTGTGCAGAGAGGCTTTCAGTACGATTGGCCTGGAACTCAGCCCTTTCCTCAAGCGCCCCCACCCTCTTTTCCTGCTCCGTCTGGCGCAACTCAGCCTGTTCAACACGCGACGCCACGTCTCCCCACGCCGTTCGCATGGAGATCACATGGTCCTGCAGCATCTGGCGGATTGCCTCCATGTTCGCGTCAGCGGCCCCATCGCCCCCACCTCCTCGTCTGGTCCCCCCACCACGCTTGGTCGGGCTCTCGCCCCCTCCTCCATCCATATCCTCGCCCTGCGCTTGCGTCGTCGTCCATCTCGCCCCCCATCGCGTCGCTTGCTCTCCTCTTCACTGCTGCTCGCGAGCTCGGTGGGAGAGAACGCAGCTCTCTCCTCGTCCTCGTGGCCATCTTCCATGCGCCGACCCTCCTCCGCCATTTCTGTCCAGGAAGATCTCACTCACGATGACGTTGCCCAGAGCACAGACTCGCCGCGGAGGAACAGTAGTCGCCCCGCTTCACCGCGGCACTCTCAACTTCAACCTCCCAACGTTCAGCTCGCAGTACGCAAACTCCCCCGCGAAGGCCGCCGAGCACGGTCAGGTAGTGGGCCACAGCGTCCCTAAGGAAGACGACAGCAGCGGTTCACCTCCGGGAACAAGGCCACCGAACACGAAGAAGACAACCCGCACCTCGAGGAGGATCCTCAAGCTCAAACTCACCAGTCACGAAGTCGCCGGGCCCACGGAGGAGCGAAGGCGAAAGTTTTGAAACCAAAGTAAGACTAAATTTCAGCTCAAGCCTTGAGCCGTAGGGTTTAGGGTTTGGGGTTTAGGGTTTAGGGTTTAGGGTTTAGGGTTTAGGGTTTAGGGTTTAGGGTTTAGGGTTTAGGGTTAGAACATGGGGAAACGATGTGTTCCTCACATGCCCCCCACATTTGTAAGACTATGTTTCCCCATAGCTAGCAATGAATAGTTCTGGGCCACCCGGATAGCCTAGGGTGTCGGGTCAGACGGTTTAGGGCTTAGGACTTACGGAGCCTATGAACCTACATCCCAAAATACCCAGGTCTTAAACCCGTAAACCCTAAACCCTAAACCCTAAACCCTCAACCCTGAAGCGCAACAGTGAACCACGCCGTCTCTGTCAGAATAGGAACTGCCGATTGCCTTTATCCGGGGACAGTATTGGGGTTTGGGGTTTTGGGGCTTTGGGGTTTAGGGTTTCGGGTTTAGGATTTAGGGTTTTGGGAATTGCGGTTTGGGGCTTGGGGTTCCTGGACGCCAGGCGTCGTAGTGCCAGGTCGGATGCAAGCGGAGCCAGGACATGATGTCGGCACCTCGGGAAGAGGGCTTAGGGTTTAGGGTTTAGGGTTTAGGGTCTTTTAGGGTTCAGGGTTCAGGGTTCAGGGTTCAGGGTTCAGGGTTCAGGGTTCAGGGTTGAGGGTTGAGGGTTGAGGGTTGAGGGTTGAGGGTTGGGGGTTGGGGGTTGGGGGTTGGGGGGTTGGGGGTTGGGGGGCGGGAGGGAGCCCCTGAACGCTAAACCTTGCTTAGGGTTTGGGGTTTAGGGTTTAGGGTCTAGGGTATGGGGTCCGGTGCTACCTCCCACCCTAACTACCCACCCAGGACTGTCTGTGTCTTACTTTAGCTAACCCTAACTGCCCGCAACCCCCCCCCACCCCACCCCCTACACCCTGAAACCCGAAACCCGAAACTCCAAACCATGAAAGCCTGGGTGGTTTGGGTTGAGAGTTTAGTGCGCCCGCCCCCGCCGGAGCAAGAATCTAAGCGGGTTTAGGGTTTATACTGGACTGAGGGAAGGACAAACCCAAGCCTGAAATCCCCAAATCCCCAAATCCCCAAATCCCCAAATCCCCAAATCCCCAAATCCCCAAATCCCCAAATCCCCAAATCCCCAAATCCCCAAATCCCCAAATCCCCAAATCCCCAAATCCCCAAATCCCCCAAATCCCCCAAATCCCCCAAATCCCCCAAATCCCCAAATCCCCAAATCCCCAAATCCCCAAATCCCCAAATCCCCAAATCCCCAAATCCCCAACTCCCCAACTCCCCAAACCCCAAACCCCAAACCCCAAACCCTAAACCCTAAACCCTAGCCCTAAACCCTAAACCCGAAATGTGGCCGCTTTAGGCTTCGAGGCTGTTCCTACGCTTGGGGCATCGAGGCTTCGGGGCGAGCCTACGGGTGTCTAGGGCTTTAGGATGTTTAGGGTTAGGGTTTAGGGTTTAGGGTTTTAGGATTTAGGGTTTAGGGTTAGGGTTTAGGGAGGGTTGAGGGTTAGGGGTTTGGGTCTTCTAACTTTAGAACTCGGGGCTTGGGGGTTGGGTTGTAGGGACAAAGGGATTCAGAGGCTTCATAGTCTCAAGGACTTTACGTAAGATTCAGGGTTTAGGGTTTAGGGTTAGGGTTTAGGGTTTAGGGTTTAAGGGTTTAAGGGTTTAGGGCTTAGGGCTTAGGGCTTAGGGCTTAGGGCTTAGGGTTTAGGGATTAGGGTTTAGGGTCTAGGGCTTAGGGCTTAGGGTTCACACTTCCCTGACAAAGGACGGTACTTCGCCGGTATCTGATCACTCTTCCAGGTCTGGTGAAGGATGCGCGGTATTCGGTGCACGTACCTGCTCTTGCTCTTGCGAAGCTTCTGGGACCCCCCTCACCACCGTTCCCTTCCCAGCAGCACATGGGAGTGCACGAACCTAGGGAACCCTAGAATAGACCCATATAGTAGGATCCCCTTATTCCCTTATAATAACACACTGCAAAGTCCCATGTCATGTTTATGGGAAGAAATAAGCAGGAATCACGAATTGTCTCACCCGAGTTCAATAGGATTGTACATAAAAATGGGGGGGGGGACCCCAACCCCCCCAAGACATTCGGAGTGCAAGTGTAGAGAGCAAAGCCGGGGTTTGGGGAGGTTCGCGAGCGTTTTGGGTTCGGGTCTCGGAAAGGCCGGCTGTGAAGAGGCTCCCTCGTGTCCCTACTTATGTATCTGCGCACTCTCTTGACCTTGAGTTGCAAACCCTGGACGCGCCGTCTGGCGCGGCTTGACTTGCTCTAAACATAAACGAGTGCATGAGCAGATACCACTCAAGAAGCCCCTGCAACCCCACAACCCAAAAAAAAAACGTCACAGGCCTCGGGATGGGTTCAGGGTATAGGGTATAGGGTAAAGGGTATAGGGTATAGGGTATAGGGTATAGGGTATAGGGTATAGGGTATAGGGTTGAGGGTTGAGGGTTGAGGGTTGAGGGTTGAGGGTTGAGGGTTGAGGGTTGAGGGTTGAGGGTTGAGGGTTTAGGGTTTAGGGCTTCTCGCCGCGCCGCGGCAGTAGATTTCATGCAGAGATGGCGCCCCAACACACCCAGGGGGTGTGAGGGAGCGGCATATGTCGCGGCGGCGTATATTGAAGTTGGAGCCACGGTTGGGTTGTTCTATTTTTCCCACCCCCTGCTTACGCAGGCATCCACCCAGCTTTTCTCCTTTTAGGGTTTCGGGCTAACACCCTAAATTCCCACTTCCCACCCCCATCCTTTAAACAGAGGGAGGGTCAGGAAGGGTCAGAGGGCCCGGGTGGGGGGGGCGGAGGGGGGAGGCATGTGGATGAGAGGGTCAAGGGGGGGACTAGGGGCCAGAGAAGCCAAGGGGGGCCAGGCCAGAGGATAGGGTTTCTTATTATCCTGAGAATCACAGAAGGGAGAAGGGGGTACCCCAGGCGGGGGGCACTGCACCGGCACTGGAGGTGCAGCTCACGCTCGACACAACTCTTTAGGCTTGCATAGCAAGTCCAAGCGATGGTGTTAATCTGTCGGGTGTAGTTCTTCCAGGCGCCGTAGAAAAGGGTGGGTACGGAATAAGTACTTCCAAATCCTGTTTGCACACCAGTGTTTTGCTGGCAGGAACATGCAACACAACTCTCGCCCTGCAGCATGTCGGTCCTGGACTTTGCTTTTGGCGACATTGTTCTGCCGCTCCGCCTCCTTCTTGCCAGCGAGCCCAACCTTTGCCTCCTCCAGCTTCTTCTTGAGATCCATGGTTGTGCTTTCCTGCTTCTTGTTGGCCAGTATCAAGTCGTCCTTGGTTTTCTTGAGCCCTTCCACCTCGGACTTCCTCTTTGAGCGTTCCGCCGCAGGCCTGGGTGGGAATTTAGGGTTTAGGGTTTAGGGTTTAGGGTTGAGGGTTTTGGGTTGAGGGTTTTGGGTTTAGGGTTGAGGGTTGAGGGTTCAGGGGTCAGGGTTCAGGGTTTAGGGTGTAGGCTTCCGCCCAGAGGCACCTGGGGCGCACGTCGGGCGGGGAGCGGAGCGCCCGCTCCAGCGCCCGGGTGCCTTGAGTTGCTTGGGGGAGCGTCAGGCTCAGGGGCACAAGGTTTCGGGTTTAGGGTTTAGGGTTTGGATTTTAGGGCTTAATTTGGAGGTTTCCGAAACTAGGGGGTACCTTATTGGGGTCCTCATGATACGGGAATCCTACTGTTCCGGGGGTCTATATTCGGCGTCCCTTTTTTCGTAAACTCCCAGATGTTGTGGCTCAGAAGGGCTTGTGGTTCAGGGTTTCGGGCCTACGCCTACGCGGCTTAAGGTTCCAACGGGTGACTTAGGGAGTAGCCAGGTTGGGGGTGGCATCGGATCCTTTTTTGCCAGGGTCGAGGATGAGAGTATACGTTGTAGCACCCAGCGAAATCGGGACGCTAGAGTCCTTAGAGAAGACCTCAGGAGCACAATTCCCCCTGTCAAGCCTTCCAGCGAGACTCTGCTGAGCCTCAAAAGAGCTTGGAGGGGTCACTAGTTTGGTCGCCAAGCGCTGTCACTGACTTGTATTGCCTGACTTGACTTGGGTTGCCCTAAAACCCATGATTTTTCCTCGCAGGAGGCGCATCTTTTTGTCGCGTCGTCGTCGTCGTATTTTCTCGACAACAGCCAACACATTTGCCCCGAATTTGCTCACGTTGTGCAACCCTAATTTGCCAGGCTGCTGCGCGGCGTGCGGCTGCCCCCCAACATGGGGCGAGCTCGGTGGGCCACTGTTGCACAGATTCTCCAAGAGCCTTTGAGTAGAAGGAGGGCTCAAGAATTTGCGGCGATCGTCGTGGGCCCCAGCCTTCCCTCGTGTCTTCGCCCAGCCATATCTGCTGACAACACAGTTGCAAGTGTTCGGGCGGTTTTGGGGTGGGCTAAACCGGCAAAACCGGCTAAACCCTAAACCCTGCACCTAAATCCCTGCGCTTACGAGCAAGCGATCTGCCGCGCACCCACTAGACCCTCACACCGCGCAGCCCGGGGGCCGTTCGCCAGCAGCCGGAAAATCGCCTACAGGTTTGGAGTTCAGGCTAAAGGTTTGGAGTTTAGGGAGCTTAGGGAGTTTAGGGAGTTTAGGGAGTTTAGGGAGTTTAGGAAATTTAAAGAGTTTAGGGAGTTTAGGGAGTTTAGGAAATTTAAAGAGTTTAGGGAGTTTAGGGAGTTTAGGGAGTTTAGGGACTTTAGGGACTTTAGGGAGTTTAGGGAGTTTAGGGAGTTTAGGGAGTTTAGGGAGTCAGAGTTTAGAGTTTCGGGGTTTAGGCTTCAAAGGCTCAGAGTTGGGGTTAAGGGTGCTTGCTGAGTACGAGCGAGGACTGAGGTGTAGGGTTTAGGGTTTAGGGTTTAGGGTTTAGGGTTTAAGGTTTAGGGTTTTGGGTTTAGGGTTTAGGGTTCTGAACCCTAACCCTAAACCCTGTAAGGCGGAGGGCATGGGGCTGGGGAATGGAAGAGCTTCTCAGCAAGTCAGGGGGTAGACCTCGGGGAGTTGGGTGCGGGAGGGCTGGGGTTTTGGGCCTTAGGCTTCTTCGTTTGAGGTTTACCTAAAAAAATCCAAAGCCTGCTTTTCTTGTAGGTTAACTAGGCATAGTGTAACTACAGGGGGTTCTATACCAATGACCTACAACAAAAGTAGGTTGTGGCTTCTTCAGGTAGGGTTCAGGGATCTTAGGTCGAGTTCAGGGCATGGGCAGTGAGGCTTAACGGTCAGGGTACCCAAAACCCTCCAACCCCGCAGTTCCTGGACCCTCAGCCCTAGGCCCTCCCTGAAAGCCTAAACTCTCAACCCCGGAAACCGAAAACCTCCTAACCCTGAACGCCAAGCTGAGCTACAGTGGGCGGCGCGCCCCTCGACCTCTACGGGCAAGTCGACCCAGGGCGCTTGCCCGCCCGCCCACAGCCAGGAGGTCGGCAGCAGCCACGATGGGGTCGGTGCGGGAGTTTGTTGACCCCTCTCCCTCCCCGTGCTGACCCCCCCTGCTGCAGAAGACGCAACTATCAGATACCGACCTTCCTGCAGACCCCCCTCAAACCCCGAAATTTTGTGACTGCGGACTTTTCTGGGCCCCCTGCCTGAAGACCCTTCAATCCTGGACGGAGGAAGTATTGGAAGCAGGCAGTTGAGTTGAGTTTCGGCTCAAACCCTAAAAGGAGTAGGGTAGGGTTAGATGGCTCTCAACAATCGGGCCATGGCTGCTCGTCGCATCTCACGATGCTTCCGAGCCTAGTCAGCATCCCACCCTTCACAGCTTCCGCGCCATACTACAGCAATCCCGGTACCCGAAAACCCTAAACCCTAAACCCTAAACCCTAAACTCGCCTCCTCTTCGAGCCCGGGGGGCGACAGCGGCGCTCCGGGGCAAACTCCACAGGTCACCGGGCAAATCCGGCGCCTGAACAGACGACGTAAACCCTCCAGGATCGAGGTGTTTAGGGGTTTAGGGTTTAGGGTTATAAGGTTTAGGGTTTAGGGTTTAGGGTCTAGGGCTTAGGGTTTAGGGTTTAGGGTTTAGGGGTTAGGGCTTAGGGCTTAGGGCTTAGGGCTTAGGGCTTAGGGTTTAGGGTTTAGGGTTTAGGGTTTAGGGTTTAGGGTTTAGGGTTTAAGGTTTAAGGTTTAGGGTTTAGGGTTTAGGGTTTAGGGTTTAAAGGGTTTAGGGTTTAGGGTTTAGGGTTTAGGGTTTAGGGTTTAGGGTTTAGGGTTTAGGGTTTAGGGTTTAGGGTTTAGGGTTTAGGGTTTAGGGTTTAGGGTTTAGGGTTTAGGGTTTAGGGTTTAGGGTTTAGGTACTTGGAGGTTCATGGTTCGTACTAGCCAATTATAATTGTACTTACAAACCACTTCTAAGCCCCTTAAGCGCCCTAATATGGTTATAAGAGTTCTAGTTGGTTCATAAATGCCATTAACCTGCAAGTAGGGCGTGGGCAGGGCTTTGGGTTAGGGCTTGTAGAGATTGTATGGTATTTGGGTCCCAGCAATTTGGACCCTGGCCGAAACTATCCTGATCTTGGAACCCTAGCAAGGGGCATAATTTTAGATCTTTCTTCGGAAGTATAGCACCCCAAAACGAAAAGCTGTTCCCAAAGATCCCTAAGGAAAGTTTTTGTTTGGAGGGCTTCCCGAGGCATTTTGGGGCCTCCCGGGGCCTTTTGAGGGTTTGGGGTTTAGGGTCTAGGGTCTGGGGTACCAGTTTAAGGTTTAGGGCCTCTGCCACCTGAGTCAGCAATTCCAGCACGGCTGATGCCAAACCTTGCCAATCTCTTCCTAGCCAGAAGCAACTGCCAACCAGTTTCTTGAATCTTCGATCCGAAACTAGGGTTTTTACCAGCACAACCCTAAACCCTAAACCCAAACTCTAAACCCCAGACCCTGAAGGCGAGTGTGAACCCTGAAGGAAGAACCCCATCTAAACCCGTGCAAACCCTCTCCTAAACCCTAAACCCTCAACCCTAAACCCTATCCTGAGCGCCTAAACCCTGTTCTCTACAGCCAAGATGCACACGCTCACCGCCCTCCCTGTCCTGGCTGGGCTTTGAGTTGAAGTACTGTGGCAAACTCTGGGCTCACTCTTGGTTTAGGGTTTAGGGTTTAGGGTTTAGGGTTTAGGGTTTCGGGTTTCGGGTTTAGGGTTTAGGGTTTAGGGTTTAGGGTTTAGGGGTTAGGTTCCACGTAGAAGCTCTTTTGACTTAGTAAGTCTACTGAGCACCCCCTAGAAGCCCGAATATTATCCCCATAAACCCACCGTACTAGCCCTACTTACGAAGTCAAAAGTAAACCCTGAACCCTAAACCCCAAAGCTTAGACTTTCGGGAAGCTTCAGGGGGTGAAAAGTTTGACTGGCACTTTAAGGGTTTTAGGTTTTTTGTGTTTTTGGGGTTGAGGGTTTAGGGTTTAGGGTTTAGGGTTAGGGGTTTAGGTTTTAGGGTTTAGGGTTTAGGTTTTGGCTTAGGGGCGGTCCCTTAGGGGCTTGCAGGGTTTGGGGTCCAAGGTTTGGATTTAGGGCTGAGCGATTTGGAGGTGGGATCTCGGGGCAACTTCGGCAAGGTGCACGAGTCCTAAACCCTCAACCCTAAACCCTAAACCCCAAACCCTAAACCCCAAACCCTAAACCCTAAACCCCAAACCCTAAAGCCTACGCCCTAAAGCCTGAACCCCAAACCCCGAACCCTCAACCCTAAACCCAAATCTTTGAGGAACTGCAGGGTGGCGACGGCCCTGGAGGCGGCTTAGGGTTTAGGGTTTAGGGTTTAGGGCTTAGGGTTTAGGGTTTAGGGTTTGGGTTTGGGGTTCTGGGGTTTAGGGTTTAGGGTTTCGTGTTTCGGATTTCGGATATTCGGGTTTCGGGTTTAGGGTTTAGGGTTTAGGGTTTAGGGTTTAGGGTTTAGGGTCTAGGGTCTAGGGTTCAGGGTTCAGGGTTTAGGGTTTAGGGTTTAGGGTTTAGGGTTTAGGGGCTGCTACTCTCGATGCTTCAACCCAAAACCCTAAACCCTAAACCCTAAACCCTACACCCTAAACCCTTAAACCCTACACCCTCCTCCAACTTTCTTCATGAATCGGAAACCCTTAAACCCTAGAAGCCTCGGAATGATGCAACCCTAAAACCCTCTAAACCCGTAAGCCCTGAAACCTCCCAAAAGCTGAACCCATCATCTGAAAGTCGACACCCTACACCCTAAACCCTACACACTAAACCCTAAACCCTCAACCCTCAACCCTAAACCCTAAACCCTAAACCCTCAACCCTAAACCCTAA